CCTCTCAGATATCCCGTGACTGGGGCGGTAACGATGGATAGTGCCACTATCAGATGCTTCTGCGTCGTGCCTAGCGGCCGAGATCCTATCCCACTGAAGCTCAGTGTCATTAGGACAAGACAGCGGAACTTCGGTATGCAGTGATTCTTGATAGGCTTGCCTGACCGAGGACTGAGACAATTTCTCCGTTGCCAATCGGGGGACGCTTGGTGCGCCTCCCGGTCAACTTCATGGAGAAACGACAGCGCACCAAGGATTGATCAGTGTTCACACAGGTACTTCAGTACGAGCGGCATTCCAGGATGGAACCACGCCATCTGTAACTTATGGCTATGTGGTCAATTTGGGTCCATCGCTGGTCAGCTACAGGAGGACGCCAAGTGGCACTTCGGTGCCCACTGTGTCTGAAAGCAGGGCTACTAAGAAACAAGTGGTGCTCCGCACACAGTTGCAGCAGACGCTCACCGTTATCAGTCCGTTCGGGGTTAAGCCCACAATTACCACCCAGCTGAGCTTCTGAAGAGCTCAGACGCTCTACTTGTGCGTTCATATCCCCAACAAGTACTAAAATATCTAAACTAGTAGCACTGCGTAGTAGCGCGTTCAGTTCATGAAAGAATGTGTCCTTGACAGCCTTAGAACTGCAGTCGGTGGGAGCATAAGTGGAAGTCACAAACAAACAGCGTTTTGTACTACTTCGTGAATCAACCTTAGCTGATGTCGTCAAACGGGCTGCACATAAACGGCTGTTCACCGGAATCCAATCAACCAACGATGGCACAGCCTTGGAGCTTAGAATGATACCTACATCAGCTTGACCCGTGAGTGCTGCACCGGCGTGTCCGGTTGCGTGCAACCAATAACGAGAGGATAAGCCGGGTGCAGTTAATTCAACAACCCCATTAAGATCATTGATCCTAGTTTCGGACACACAACATATATCAATACCCAGTGTGTCCATGGTGCGTGCGAGTGCAGCCTGTTGACCAGTTTGTCTTAGAATGCGAACGCTGAATGTCGCCATGAAATCGGAACATCTTGGCCTTATAAGGGACTTTTGCCGATAGGCGTCTGATAGGTGCGGTGGGAAGGTGGCTGCAGATGGTACTACTCCAGTGGCACTTCGGTTGCTGTCAATTAGGCTGGGAATTTTAGAAGAAAGGTTAGTACTGGGGGTCGGGATGGGAGTAGGAGAAACAGGTGGAAAAGAAAGGAGGCGCCAGCAGTAGCGTGTTTTCACTTATCTGCCCTGCTGTATGCAGCGGATAAGGCGACCCATGATAACCTGCGCGACGGCCGATGCAGGATGAAGTTCATGTTGGAAGAAAATGTCATGGTTGCATGTGGGCTGAGATACTGTCAGTGCGCCCAGACCTAGACAGGAGGACGATTAGGGTCCTCATGTAAAGCCTCTGGCTCAAAAGCTTGTCCGCAAGGCAGCATGCAGGTGGCAATGATTTAGTTTTACAGAAATGGACGCGATCCCATTTCAAACCCCCAATCTGGAGGACCAGGAGACCGATTTTGTCTGACCTGTCACCATTGACCAATCTGGTAGAAGTAGCTCTCAAAGTGCCCGGAGGCATCACCCAGTATAGCTCAATGGGTCAATGAGGTACGCAAACTGTCGCACCACGTTAAGGTCCAGTCTCGTTGCGACGGGGTCCAGTCTCGTGCGACGTAACAACTTCCTATGGTTACCAAGGACAGCGGCCACTTTCATCTCTGACGCACGATAAAACCACCAGGATTCACGGTCATTCTTTAGGCTAATACGAAGTTTCGACCGGATGTCATTGCGAATCTCGTTGTGTTCACTTCCAGCCGGAATACACCGGCGAGACTGCGAAGAGACCCAATGTCTATGTTGGCTAGTGGATTTACCACATGATGATTTACCTTCTGCTAGTAAGGTAAAGTGAATACGCGACCGGTGACCTTCAACTGGATTCCGTGAGCGCTTGCTCAACCTGAACGACAGCGCACTGCGATACGCATTCAGAACACTTGGCTTCGCCAGTTGGCCGGCATCTATGCGCTCACAGCGCGACCATCAAAATGCACCCGCAGATCAGCACATACAGGTGCATGGTCCGTGTCCACACATGTGCTCCAAATCGAGCGAGTTTTGGAAGCAGCCTTTCAAGCGATAATTGATTGCGATGTGATCGATTTGCGTCTATGGCTGGTGGGGGCCGTGTCAATTTCCGACGAGTACTGTGTCGGAAGTTAGCGCTCACAAGAAATAAGCGAGCATTACCACAAATAAAGTAACTGCTCACCGTAATGATTACAGGAGCCCACACCATGTTGGCCGCCCAGATGCAGCTCATCAATGGACAATATCCTAACTTGAATGTTTAGATTTCCAGTAAGCACCACATTGTCTGTGCTTCTTCTGTAAGGAGGCGGCTCGCTCAATTGATGATAGAAGTCGGCTTTTACTGATTCATTGCTACAGTTTGTGGGGGCGTAGGTAGCGATGACAAACCGACACCTATTAGCCCCGCGCGACTTCGAAGCTTTGAACGAGCCAGCCAGTAGGACCGCACGCATCCGATTACTGATTGGGATCCAAGCAACCCCAGCAGCTTCAACCCGCGGATTGTCCAGTACCAACAACGACTTGGCCGGTACTCGAAGCTGCATCATCTCCGGATAGACGCAATTAGAAAGCACTGCCAGTGTCACCAGAAGGGGATCGCAGAGTGAGAACCGAACTCGGGTCTTGTAGGCGGGTTTCTGATAGGCAGCAGATATCGATCGAGAGGATCTATAATGTACGGGCATGTGCTAAATGTTGACTGATTGGTGACAACGTGCATACATGAAAAGAAAGAAAAAGAAAGGCACTAGCAGTACGCGGTACCGACACTATGCTGCCGCGCAACCACCACCGGTCGCAAGTGGGCTAAGGATGTTGCGAGGGTCACCCAGCCCCTAAGCAGCCTCGAATCCGCACCTCAAGATTACTAGTCAAGCTAGTTACCACTAGGCTACCGGCAGGGAATGTGCATACATTGAGGCATGCCAATCTGAGGGAGGATCGAGGGCTCCACTTAGAAGCCGATGGACTGGGTTTGACCGCTCTGTTAGACATGTGCTTGTCGATAGAGCAAGAGTGACGCTTTGCGTTTGATGTGAGTTGAAACTAGTAAACGCCAATCAAAACATGGTGTGATAGAGCCAAGAACTGGGTTTAAATAGGGAAAATTAAAGTCGTTGGAACAGAACGATAAGGGTGGAAAAGCGTAAGAGGGAGAATTAGAAGACAGGAAGGCTTGAGCAGTAGCATCCAAACCCCTATTCACCCTGCTCGATGCAACAGGCGGCCAGACAAGCAGGAAATTGGTTGAGGTTTCCCAGGCATAGACAGGAGAAGGATTAGGGTTTTCAATCATAGCCTATGGTTGAAAAACCTGACCGCAAGACAGTGGGCTTGGCAGTGGACAACAATTAGTCCTTTTTAAGGAATAAGGAGCCACGCTTACAAATTCAAGCAGGACTGGAACAATAGAATCATCCCGTGAGTGTTCCTTCTTCAGCGGATCGTTGAACCAGGAGTTGGCGAACTTTAAATTACTGATGGACCTAAAACAAAGACCGTATCACACTTTGTCCAACCAATTAATGCCCAAGTATCCTACCCTAACAGTCCCTGCTGGGCCGGTTACGTGAAGTAAGAAAAGTAAACTCAGAAGGTAAAAGATGAAGTGGAAAGAGCTAAGCAAGTAGAATACCAAGAGTTTTGAGTAAGTAAAAAAACCAAAGTGAATGTGAGTCAGTTAGAAAGAAGGAAAGGTTTAGTTTTGCCACCCAAGAGCATCAAGCTGGCGCGCAAAACCCTTAACCGTAGGTTCCCTAACCACGTGATCTGGAAGCGAATTCCAGCGATTAATAACACGGCGCGACAGAAGAGTTTCCGTTCTAATCCTATCAGACCGTGGTTTATGCAGTTTCATTGGTTGATCGCGGACTAAATAGCCCTGACTAGTCCGGGCCAATCTTACCCGTCAAAATACGATAAGCGAGAATCAGGTCCCCTCTTATCCTTCGGTAGTGCATGGTGTACATCCCCGAACTAATCAAGCGTCAAGGATACGTCTTTTCCCGTAGACCCTGCACTAACCGAGTGCCCACTCTTAACACCCTATCCAAGACCATTTGGTCTCGGTTAAGACATGGTGGACAAGCCTGGATACAATATTACAGGTAACGCCGGACGAATGCCGAGAATAGCTTCACAAACAAATTGGTCGTTAGAATTTCGAAAGAACGGCGAATAAACCACATCATACGAAACCTCCGAAAAGCAGCCTTCTTCCAAACGTCGCCAGAATGAAGTGCTACTCCAATCTTCAAGCTTGTAGGGCCAGAAAACTGTTTGTGCGGCGAGTAATCATTGAGGAATCTGGTATGAGTGACACTTGCAAAAAAGCAACACCCAGAATAGCTCAATGGATCCATGAGGCATGCAAACCATCGCACCACGGTAAGTTCTATTCATTCATTATACACGTTAGCCGCGGGTGGAAAACACCTCAACTATTGTGCCGCAATAAAAAGAACCAGTTATTTGGAATGACAAAGCAGAAAGATCCTATGTCAGCTCCACCATTTCCTGTTCAAAGCAGGGATATCGCGGATCCTTGCGATACACTGTTCTACAGGGAACCAGCAAGACCGCAGCGGAAACAACACAACGCTTGCCTAGAAAATAAAAGTCCAACAGTCGTTGGAAGCTTTCTTATTTGTGCGCTGACGACTGGCTTGGGTGAATTGTTTCAGTCCATTAGCGCACAGGTTGTGAACAAAGTGGTGTACCAATGGATGGCAAGCTTAAGTGCAGACTATCAAGGATAAAGGATAGTAACGCGATGCAATGCCTGCGCACACTAAACGAGAAACTGCTGGAACGCTGCGGCAAAAGGTACGACTACAACCATTAGGTATCAAGCAATGTATGTGCGGAAGCAGCGCAATATAACCGATAAACCCACCTGAAGTGTCATAACAACGTAGCTGTATCGCTCATTTCGTCCACAGCCGAGAAATTTGCAAACGTGAGTTTTCCCCTGAAGCTTTCTGAGGACAGCGACTTCCATCTTAAGAACCTGTTTAGGTTGCTTCGCAGACTCTAGTTTCAGTGCAACCTTCTCCTGGCCATTGATTTCTTGCGCTTCGTATATTTCCCCAAAACCACCACCACCAATTTTTTTCGTAATGCGCCACTTGTCTTTGATCACATGTCCAACAGAGACTAAATCAGTATCGGAAGTGGGTGACGTCATTACACATCGTTGCTAGCTAAAAGCAAAACACAGAGCCATAAAATTCCATATCGAAGAGAGGTAGTCCACATATGGTGTTTTGGACACGTACCAGTGTCAATGCCTAAATTGCTGCAGTATCACGAGGATGAAGGCAGAGTTGGGATGATATTTATGTCGAATATTAATTGGTGTCGAAATGAAAATAATGTACAACCAAGGCAGCATGCAAATAGGTCCACATTCTCGTCAAAACGGTCTAATTATGACCGTACAGCAACACGAGAATTCCAGCTGGCGGCGAATAGCACCAGGTTACTAAATCATGATGGAAGTAGGTGTGTAATGCACTTACTCATATTTACATTACTATACATATTAACCTAGGAATATTTAGCAACAATATTTTTGCATCTTATTTTCACAAATATAGAAAACCACCTACTACACAAAAATATTTTGTCCCAAAATTAAACTTTATAAATTAATAAAGTGGTTTACACAAAAATCTCGGTTATCTTGGTACATATATGTAATCAAGCGCAACTTGACACTTTACTCGTCAGGAATTTTGTTTGATTTCAGCAACTAACACTACTGTTACCCCATTTTATAGAGTGGATTGCAAGGAACGTCAGCATGAGGACATGTAATCGTTTATGTTAAGAAATCTACCATACAGCAGCACGTACCCCGGTCTAGTTGTCAAAGCCTTGAACATCGGCGCCACAGATACAAGCTAAACAGTTAACACGCAAAACAAACGAAGTACCGCCCAAAAATGCCACTGCTAAATTTTCTGTATTGCTAAAATCATACTTGAAGTTAACCTATAAAAATATGGTTAACGCATTTTGTTTTAAACTGCGAATATACGGTTGATCAAAGGCAGCGTTCCATCAATCCGTAGCGCGCCAACTAAATCACAAGTAATAATACACTCACAACCACAAATAATAATACAGTAATATAATGCTTTGATGTCCAAGTTCCAGCTAACTACAGTGACATTAGGTTAATTTTCGGGTATTCCATCTTGAATGCTTTTAGGTACGCATTTAAATAGGAGAACAATATTCGGTGTGTGAATATAGGATTGCCTTTTGCAATTGATGAAACACGTTAAACGCTGGCAATGTTGCCAGCTTAACGACTGTCAATGGGAGTGTTGGGCGTAAATGGATCCTAAAAACCTAATAACCATGCATGGTTTACCCCGACAAACGGAATCGGGAAACTACTTCCGAATTCGATCTTTTTGTTTTATTAACAATGTCAGATATCCTTCGTTAGAACAAAAAGTTATATACCCCTAATAAAAAACACAATAGTTAATTAATTAAGCCTTTAACCATAGTTTAGTTATCGGTTCCATGTATTACATTCCCGATGGGTTTGTATATATACATTATCTTAAACCTTCTAAAAGCTGAGAGGTGGAACAATTCATGGGCCAGTTTTCTGTAAACTACGTATGATAACGTTTCACGAAATGGCGCAATTGTATGGCAATTACAGCGGATCCCACTTATAAAGCTTGGTTATATTCTGCAGATTTTGAAAATTTTATCTTGCTTCTAGTACTGAAAAGTCAGTGGTTTGCGTAAAAATCTTTTATACATGCACCGAAGGATTTACAAAGTGTGAAAGGGATGAAAGGACACCATTTAATTTTTGATGCTATCGTCTCTAAACTCATACAGACACACGGTTTTTTCTGCACTTTATCGTTTTTTCTATTGTGGTGTAAGTTAATCGCCCATTGGTTATAGTGCAACTGACCATGGAGCAATTGACAGCAATAAATCCGATGTATTGTTTGTAAATATAAATTTTTTTATTTGCTTCAACTCAAGGCAAGCCTAAGCAGGCAGTACAATTTCCCTAGCACAACCGGGGTGGTCGAAAACCTACTAATAATATTTCAGTCCCTTAGTAAACACAACTACTCAAAGACTTCACTCACAATCTGACAACAGTAGAGCTCAAATCGTGCATGGCACTATATTTGTGCAACAAGTCTAGCACGTTTGAAATGGACCTTCCATAATAATTTCGAGCCTAATACCCGATTTGCAAGCAGACTAATGCAGACATTTGCAGCAAGTTAAAATTAGTACAACGGAGCCCGTGCAACCATATATTTTATCGAAAATTTAAACAAAATGTACAAAAATTTCCCGATTAAATTGTTGACAAGCAAGCTTACTACGCACTACATAACTCCTCCTAGAGCGTAAACTAGTAAGCTAATCTTGATATATCTATATAGTGAAAAAACTCAGATAATTTGATTGTGGAAGACACAGAACGTCCTGAACGTGTGTGTTTGGGATGCTTCATTGAGCGAGCGCATGTAGGTTCTGTAGCATTGGCATCAGTCGGTCTATTAACAGGAGTAATTACTTTCTGAATCAGTCAAGGTAACGATGAGCTCAACATTAACGTGGTTATTACGGTCATAAACATAGTTTCTTACGAGCTATTCCCTTCCAATGAAAATTAATTTGGTTACGTGGCAACTGTTTGAAAGGACCATTATAAGGAGGTAGCAACGGATTGCGAACTGCATCGCTGCGAAAGAGACAACAAGGACCACTGTGTAAGTCCAGAAGCATTCATTGATTGCAGGCAGAGAATCGAATACATTTGTCGAATTGTTCAGAAGTGTTGGCTTAGACTTTCGGTGTACGACACAGCACCCAGTTCACCGGTGTCGCGGGTTTCCAAAAGCATCACACCTGTCAGTTTGAGTGTGGTGCGAAAGACGAGTTCGGCAGGGCTTCAGTCATTATCTTATTTGACGGTAATACGAATACCAAGAAGGACGGCTGGAATGAGCGCAGACCAGCGTGGTTCTGGTGCATTAACGGTGATGCCAGCTTTATGCTGTCGATGGCAACGCTCGACGAAGCCATTCTAAGCGGGATAATAAATAATTATCCGAATGTGGGTACAACCCAACATACGATTCACATCCCTGAACAATTTGGAACTAACTTATAATCCTTGAGCTGAAGTGAACGTAGTTGGCACAGGGAAGCAGAAAATCCAGGAGTCGAAGGTTGCACGGGCAACAGTTTCTAAACTTGTGTCGAGCAATCCATCAGCATGCAGCCAACGAGTAAAAGGGTCAACCCAAATCAGAACAAAAGAGAAGTTGTTCAGTTGAGTTAACGGTCCGACTATATCTATGTGGACATGTCTCAAATGCGTCTGAGTTAGTGAGAATGTTCTGGGAGCAGATATAGTGTGTTTATGTACTTTTCTGAACTGACATCTGCGACCGTGTTTAGCCCGTTGACGGATATCGGCGCTCATGCTAGGCCAGGTGTAACAATCAGTAATCAACTTCGACGTGGATCGAATGCTAGGGTGCGATAGTCCATGAAAACGGTCAGAGACGGTTCCCCGGAAAGGCTGTGGAACAAACAGCCCGCTTACCGATAGTGGCATTGCGGTAAATACTTGTGTCTCAGTTTAAAAAGAGTAATTGCAAGCATTTCAACGTGGCATTCAATAGAAGCTGAGCGAGATCAGGATCGTTGTTCTGGGCAACAGACATTTCCTCAAGAGATTTTGGTAAAGACAAATGTTGAGGTAAGTGAGCACCTGAAGTTGCATTGGCGGCAAAATTATTTGGACACTTGTGGTAGAGAATATCGACACAGAATTGTGAGCGGTAATCCAGGTGTTGTGTCTCTTTCGGAGAATAGCGGTCGGGAGTAGCAGGAGAAGCGTAAACCAACGGCTTGCCGTCCGTCTGCACTGCAAAGCCTCGGCTTTCAAGGACATGACAAAAGTGTTTGACCGGCTGGCTGGCAGAACAACCTCCTCGTGGTGCCAGCTGGGTGGTTCGCGTTTACCCCCTTCCAGCAAATAGTTCGGCGGCAGTGTTCCAGGTCGTGGTGGGTTTTCGCCTGGTAAGCGTTCTCCCTATAAAAAGCCACACAAGTCCGTTTAACAACACTGTGACGTGGCGGTTGTGACTCGCCACTAACTAAAGTCACCCACTGCTTATCCAGACAATCGCTTCAAGTCCACAGATATCAAGCATCCATTTAGCACTGGCGACACCTTCAAACACATTCAAGCAAAACGACAGGAAACAGTTACCAATCTCATAAACCAATCTAAACACGCCTAAATGCACACTTACATACGTTCATACATAGACATATGCAACAATCCCATTGTTCCATTGTACATTAACTGATCACATTTTGTACTCTTAACATGATCATGCCTGCGCAGGCGTGCCTCGCTTAGTCGAGAATACACGATTTATCTATTTATTTATTTATTTACTTAGTGGGTCGCGAGAGGTTCACCACCGAAAACACTATATTTCGTTTGTGCTGGCTGTAGCACCGAGAAAAGTAAGCGGCCGGAGGTCCTTACCGGTTGGTTGTTTTGCTACGGCACCGACTGCGGATCGTGCGGCATCAATAGCTTTCTCGTCTGTGTCTAAGTAGCTTGAAGAAGCTCTCCGGCTCAAATTCTGCTCGATAGCAGCAAACATTGTTTCGGTTTCTGGCGTAATGGTGGGCTTCTTTAAATTAACTTTAAGTAAATCAGTCAAAGGCTGAGGAATGGCGGCACAATTGTCAATGAACCTTCCGTACTAATTAACCATGAGCAGTAAATGTTGCAGGTTTTTAACCGACTGAGGCAGTGGATAGTCAGTGGTTGACTAAGATTTCTCAGAGATGGGACTGTCTTTGCTAGCAATTTCTTGATTAAAATATCGAAGATAAATTGACGAACTAGAGAGTTATCAGGATTAACGCTTATCTCGTAAGGTTCGAAGCTTCAGGATACCTATCAAACTTTACCTACCTGCGCTTGTGGTGTGGCACTGGCTATAAGGACACCGTCGATGTAAACAAAACAAAGCCTAGTCCACGGAGGACATGGTCCATGTATCGGTGAAAGGACCGTGCCGCATGGCGAAGGCCAAAAGTCATTCAAATGTATGCGTACAAACCGAAAAGCGTGGTACCCGCTGTAAGCTACAAAACTCGCTTAGGATAGTTGGACAACGCGTAGGGCACCGATTCGCGGCCTCCGACAGGGGATCAATGAGCGACAAGGATCGGAGTTGGTGTGTAGACACCGGAGAAACAAAAATGCCGCAGTCGATGCTGAACTACGGTGTTCCATTATACAAAGAGTAAAAGATCAAAGTGACAACATACCAACAATGTCCTCAAACAAAGACAAGTGCAATCAGTTGGCCGTTACAAGAACAGGACATCAATACGGTCGTCCAGTCAGCAAAATGACCCAGCGCGGTTACATGACGTGCGAGACATGCACCAGTGAGCCAATCAAGAAACCAACAGCCACTAGTCCAAGCA